CAGTGTGTGTAAGGTGGGGTGGGGGGGGGGGGGGAAGGTAATTTGTAAGAATATTGGGAGACTTCGTTTTCCCAACAAATGATCAAACATAAAATGAGTCCGGAACCAAAATGTGGTTCTTTTGGACTCAAACTACACAAATAGGTGTAAAAAAAAAAAGTTACCATACTATATATAACGCCAGAAAACCTGGCGCTATACATTCACGGTAACTGCACCGTTAATGTATAGCGCCAGATTTTCTAGCGTTATACAAAAAAAATCTGAAACAGCTGATATAGTGCCATAAAAAGTGGCGCTATATGTATATACTCTTTCTTTTTCTTTTTGGTAATTATTAGACATCATTTAACTACAATCATTTAGTTATTGCTCTACTATTTATGAATATTCATTTAATAAGTTTTCTAATATTTAATAATAGTCATTAATGATTTTCCTAATATTTAGAACTTTGAAATCAATTAAAACTTTATATGTTAGTAAAATTTTCCTTATCTTAATTATGTAGATTATTTTCACCCCAATCATTTAGTTATTGCTCTACTATTTATGATATTAAAAAATTATTACCTCCCAAATGAAGAAACAATATAAGGTAATATATTTTTATAAAATTTCATCTAGTTATTGCATTCCATCTCTTGTTTGATCGTGGGCTAATTTGATCAACTTCTGAACTCAATCGAATAAAAAAAGTTAAATTATAACTACTATATGTTTTTTTCTTATTAGATTGACAAAAATTACATTTAAAAATTATTCACGGAATATTTGGGTTGGTTCTTGACTGGCAAACAATTTTGGACAAATAAATTTGATCCAACTTGTTAATGCGACTTGAAATTGAAAGTTCGTCAGTTTAGGACTTAAAAAGTACAATCAAACCTCTTTATAACAGGTTCGTTTGTTTTAGTTTTTTTTATTGTTATAGCTAATTGATGTTATAGAGAACATATATTATAATCTAGTATAGAAATTGGTTCCTAATATGTAGATTATTTAGAACTTTCCTTATCTTTATTATTATGATCTAATTATAAATATAGTGTACTTATTATTATTTTTAATATTATTAACTTGTTCAACTAATTTCGATAGAATTTGCATGAATTTAATTGCTTAATTTATATATAAGACATAATTAGTGATTAGTTAGTAGAAAGTGGTTTTCTTAAATAATTTTTATGTGTAATTTTTGATAAATTAAATATTTAAAACAATTGAGGGTATTGTAGTAAACTTATCAGTTTAAGTACAGTACGATACAGTCAAACCAAACAGCAAAATGTTATTTAACAACAACGAACAATACAATCTATCCAAACATTGTATTCATAAAACGATACGATACAATACAATACAGTACAATACGATGCATTATAAAACAATGGGGAACAGTGATCCAAACAGAGTGTTAGCTTCTTTTTTTTAGGAGTTGACAACAACACTTTTTTTCCATGACGTCCGTAATATTTCTTGTTAGTTTTAATAAATGGCAGCAATTTTAGTTTTATTATTATATATGATAATAATCATGAACTGCTACTTGCTAACACAAATTTTAATCTTGTTGTATTTTGTGGTAGTACAATATATTCAAAGTGCAAATAAATTGACAACATATTTCATAGTTATTTCATATGTCTAATAATTACCAACTTATTTACTTTTATGTTAAATATTAGAAAACTTATTAAATGATATTCATAAATAGTAGAGCAATAACTAAATGATTGTAGTTAAATGATGTCTAATAATTACCAAAAAGAAAAAGAAATTTTTATGGCACTATATCAGCTGTGTCAGATTTTTTTTGTATAACGCCAGAAAATCTGGCACTATACATTAACGGTTCAGTTATCGTTACTGTATAGCGCCAGGTTTTCTGGCGTTATATATAGTATGGTAACTCTTTTTTTTTACACCTATTTGTGTAGTTTGAGTCCAAAAGAACCACATTTTGGTTCCGAACTCAACATAAAATGCTTGTCAAAAAATGAATAGATAGTCTGCTAACCCCTTATCGTAAAATCCTGGTACTCTACTGTATATGGGATTTCTGCAGTGACTTATGATAATGATTATCTTTCATAGAAATTTGTTTTTTTGAATGAATGATTATCAGGTGTGCTTTTTTATTTATTGATTGACTTATCAATGCTCTCTCTTTTTCGAATTGTCACTCACCTTTTTAACATACTCTATACAAAATGACTTTACTAGTTCTTGTACTTTCTTAAAATTTCTTCCAAAATCCAATGGTCCTTTTTTTTTTCCTTTTCTATTTCATGCTTAGTTACATCTTAAAAAGAGGATTATACTAAAGCAGACAGATCGTTAAAGATGTTTTATTGGATAAAACAAACTAAAAGTTAGCAGCTTTTTATCATAAGAAATCATGGGGTTTTTCTTTTTAGCCCATGTTTTGACTTGATCTTTTCTTGATTTAAAATATCACGTAAAAGATCGTTTCTTTGCCCAATGGAAAGTACCAAGTTACGTGTCAATTTAGGTTTTACCATGTACAAAATCCTTTAAGTTTGAAACCATAATTCATTACCCAATAATATAACAAGACTACCCTCTTTTTCCTTTTTGAACTAAACGAGGAATAATAGCCATGTATCAGAGGAGAAGCAGAATCTTTCCCTGCGTTAATCATCTAATATATGCTCCATAAATTGAGAACTACGTGGAGCCTTGACGTAACTGTATAGTTGTTTGTGATCCATAAGTTACGGGTTCGAGCCGTGGAAGTGGCCACTAATATTTGCATCAAAATGTACTGTCTACATCATACTCCTTAAAGTTTGGCTTTTCCTTGAACCCTACATGAATACGGAATATTTTGTGCAACGAGCTGTCTTGACAGAAAATATGATTATGTGTCTAAATGGATCTTTTAAGTCCGAGAATCTGGAGATGTCTATTGATTATCTTGAGAATT